GAGTGATCGAGCCCACCGTCTCGGCCTACTCCTCGCCCCCCGTCCTGGTATCGCGCCCCGGAAAGGCACCCCGGTTCTGCGTCGATTACCGGAAACTAAACGACCTCACCACTGACGAGTCGGCCAACTTACCCCGGATTCAGGACACCGTCAAAGCCCTGTCCACGTCCAAAATTTTCTCAGTCCTCGACCTGAAGAGCGGTTACTGGCAGGTGCCGCTGGAGGAATCCAGCAAGGCCTACACCGCCTTTTCGACCCCTGATGGCGCCAGTTACCAATTCGTCGTAATGCCTTTCGGCTTAAAAAACGCCCCCTCCACGTTCCAGAAGCTCATGACGTCGGAGGTCCTGGTAGGCCTGATTGGCTCCAGCGTGCTCGTCTATTTGGACGACATCATAGTCCATAGCGACACGCTGGAAGAACACCTGGTACACCTCAGAGTGGTCTTCGAGCGACTCCGGCTCCACAATTTAAAGGTTTCGGCAGGAAAGTGCCAGCTGGCCACCGATAACCTCGACTACCTAGGTTACCACATAAATGGATCCACCGTCGAGGTTCAGCAAAAACACCTGCTCCAGATACATGACTTTCCCAGACCCAGGACGCTCAAGCAGCTCCAAGGATTCTTGGGAACCTGCAATTGGATGCGGGAGCACGTGCCCCATCTCTCCACCATCTCCGCACCCTTGACGGACCTATTGAAGGGAGGGGCGAAGAAGTTTAAATGGACCCCAGAGGCAGAAGAGGCGTTTGAACAGACCAAGAAGGCCGTAGCGAGCGCCCAGCCGTTAAGTCGACCAGATTTCGCCAAGGAGTTCGTGTTACAGACCGACGCCTCCTCGATAGGCATGTCCGCGGTCCTGTACCAATTGGACGGCGAAAAGCGCCTGATCATCTCCTTTGCGAGCGCCAAGTTCAAGCCCGCCGAGACGCGCTACCATGTAAATGAACAAGAGTGCCTCGCTCTGATCTGGGGAATCCAGCTCTACCGCGGCTACCTGGAGGATCGACCTTTCCTCGTGAGGACCGACAGCAAGGCGCTGACCTGGTTGGGAAAGTTTAAGGACACCCGTGCGAAACTTACCCGTTGGGCCCTGATGCTCCAGGAATACTCCTTTACTCTGGAACACGTTCCCGGAAAACACAACGAGCTCCCCGACCTACTGTCAAGACACCCCAGCGAGGCCGAATACCAGGCCGAACCTAACAATGACAGGCTAATTCCCCCCGATTCCCAGGAGACGGAATCGAAGCCGGCGGTAGCGACCATCGCCGCCAGCGAGTTATTCACGTCAGTAGTCGCGGGACAGGCCAAAGTGCGGCACATCCGCCGAACTATGGTCATGTTGCAATTGCTGGAGGGACGGCAGGAGCAGACAGCCGCCCAGCAAAAGCTGACACGAAGATTCACCACTTATGACAACCTGCTCTGGAGGCGCCACCCAGAGGGAGACAGGCTGGTCGTTCCCCGACAACTGGTGCCCAAGGTGCTGGCTTACTTTCACGACTCGGCCGAGCAGGCGCACCCCGGATATAAGGAGACGCTTCGGAAGATCCAGGAGCGGTATTTCTGGGGCCATATGCATTCGGAAATCCAGCGATACACCCACCA